CATAATTATATTTTAGATTTTTTATATTTAAAATGAGATATTTATCTAATATTTGATTATGTTTATCTGCAGTTAGTTAGACGAATTCAAGTATGGAGTTTTAATAAGTTATACTTATGCATAATTTACTTGTAAACTTAAATTTTAAGTAATATGCATCAATAAACAATACTTCGTGCATAAAAAATTGTTTTTAAGAGTTTTTGTTAAATGTTTTAATATGCATCAATAAACAATAATTCGTGCATAAAAAATTATTTTTAAGAGTTTTTGTCAAATGTTTTAATATGCATCAATAAATAATACTTCGTGCATAAAAAATTGTTTTTAAGAGTTTTTGTCAAATGTTCTATAATATAGTTTATATATATATATATATATATATATTTCAAAAAAACCCAAGAACATATTAATTCAGAACATATTATACAATGCAATTTGGACAACCTAACCCCAAAATATATAATATATATATAAATAAATAACTATAAAAATAGAAATCGTAAATATTAAAAATATTTTTTCACAGTATATATAATATATAATAATATAATTAAGTCAAAAACTATTCAATATTGGACTCATTTCGAAGGTATTAACGAGACGATTATAATGGTGTAATTTGTTAAAATAAAAATATATTTTTTAAACATGTTTTAATTGATATCCGATTATGTATATTAATTTGATAAATGTTTAAAATAAAACATTTAAATGTAAAGAACGTAAAGTAAATTAATTAACTAATTATAGGGGTATGTGAGGAGAAGAGGGGGTGAAAAAAATGAAAAAGTGATATAAAGGGTATTTTGGTCATTTAGTATTTTAAGACTTTAAGACTTTTGTTAAGTTTGTTTTATAAGATAGTATAGATTTTGATGTAAAAATAATATAAACATCGATTCTTTTTCAAATGTCCAACAAATTACATTATCTTTTACATTAAAATAGAATATTTTTAATGAAAATATAATAAACCATAATGAAATAAAAATATTTTAAGAATATTCTATTTTAATGAACCACAAAGGTGGTGTCTGATTGGTTTGAGCTTGACTCTAAAGGTCAAAAGTACCTGAAGGTCTCAGGTTCAAATCTAATAAGGATTACAAATCCCCTTGTGGCCACGGAGGTTCAAATGTGGTGACTCCAGACTATCTGCAAAGCAAGTGGTTGTCTTGGAATTAGTCGGCTTGCATATCCAGGTTAATCAAGAAAAAAATTATTAACAATAGTGAAAAAAAGTAAATAAATGCTGGTTGAAAGGGAAATCCACAAACAAGGTGTACCCCTTTTGTAAAACTATTAGAGGTCGAGAGAAAAGTTGATGTGCATTATATAACGGTTGGTCCTTGCTGTCTCAGTCTATCATGGGTGGCAAAAAAGGAACCGACATATTTTAAGGAATTTACTTTGCAATCAAAAGGACATTGCAAAGGTAATTAAAGGTGTAGTTTGATCCAAGGCTATTATCGTGAAGATAAATTACGATCATATAACTAAGCTGTATGCTGGAGAGGGTCAACAAGAAGTTTCAGGGTCGGGAATTTTAGCAACTTTACAAATGGGTGCAAGGTAAGGAGGATGGTGTGTTGGGTGGAACAGAACTGAATACAACATGAGAATCAACTGGATAAGAGGAGAGTCATGCTAATTATCACAATATGGACGCCTCATATTCTAAACACGACAGGTATTTTAGTCAAGATTTATGGTTTGTCATGTATTTGTTTTGTGTTTGTTTCGGCTTTTAGTCGATTGGTATGGTTGGTGTCCCAACCGGTAAGTTTTAGTGGTAGATGTTGAGCACTTCAAAAAATTTCAATGGGCCATATCCTATATGACTGGTTGGATGGCTGGCTGGCTGGCTCCATGCCTTTCAGGTATACTTTTTATTTTCTTCTTATAAATTTGTTAGAGGTGTTGTCCTCTTTTTAAAAAATGAACAGAAAACTAAATAGTGCTAATAATATATTGAATATTACATCTAATAACAGACTATTTTAAATGTATGAACGGGATTTTGACAGTAATAGATTACAATTAGGGTTGTAATTGATTTTTTTGTTTTGTTAAAAAGCTATTAAAACAATATTTCAAGGAGCATTTTAATAAGTTGTCTAATTAATTTAGGCATTTATGGCAAAAATAAATTAGCTTATTTTCGAGGTACATGTTTGGATGAATATAAGTTAGCTTGTTGAAACGCTATTTGGAGTAGCGTTTTGGTAGCTTATTGTTACTTTTTCTAATTATAAATATCATTAATATTAATTATTATTCATTACTATTAATTATAAATAAATACTAATAAAATTTCAATATTATTAATATTAATAATTATTAATTAATATAAATTAAAAATTAATTTTAATTATATA